GCAGGTGACTTCAACTCCTACTTTATTGCCATGACCTTATTATTAATTTCCCTGCTTTCCACCCCACAACTTCCATCTTCACCACTCTCTTCACCTTCCCTCCAGGCTCAGAGAAAGGTGTGTCGTCTCCTTTCCAAGGCTGACCCCTCCTCCACCCTAGTCCCACCACCCATGCCTCCTCCAGGGCCTGGGCCATGAACGGCACCCTGTTTCACTTCTTATACTTGTTTCTCCATCCTCACTGCCCATTAGCTCTGCTCCCTCTGCCTACAAGGTGCTCAGTAGGCCTGGATTGGGCCATGAAAGAAGGGGAAAATAAGTCCCTGTCCCTGTCATGCTAACCCTCTCTGAGCTTCTGATCCCGTTTGCTCATTCTGTCCGCCACCAAACTCCTCAAAAGCAAGGGGACACCTGCTCCTCTGCTTTCTCTCCTTCCATTAGCTTCTCTTCCCCTTTGATCTGGGTTGTGCCCCTGCTCTGCCACCAACACCACTCTCTCAAAGGTCACTGGTGTTTTGGCCATTGTTTCCTAAGATGCTTTCTGATCCCCACCTGCTTTCTGCAGCATCAGTCACTGTAGGCAACCTCCCCCTCCATGAAATTCGCTCCTGGCTTGGCTTCCATGACAACCCCATCTCCTCGCTCCCCTCCTCCCTCACTGACCATCCTCTTCTGTCCATCCTGCCCACGTTATTGCCAGACTCGTCTCCTAAAAGCACAGCTCCGACAGCTCCCAATAACTGCTTCTCTGTGCAGAAACCTTCAATGGCTCACCACTGCCTGCAGAAAAAAAGTCACAGTCATAAAATAATGCAACTATACACAATACACAATATCTAACGCAGTAATATGTCAGAGGGTTCAAACTTTTTTAAGCAGCAGAATCCATTAAGAAGAATCTTTCTCAGAGGGCTGATGTTTAAAAAGCATTAAAACAACATGCCCTTTAAACACAGCTCCTATTGAAGCAGGGAGTGGGGAACCCAGGAAATTCTAGGGCTTTCACAGCACAAGTGGAAAACCATGGAACAAATTAAACTTCTTGGTCTGCAGAGGAGAAAAAAGGCCCAGAGAGGAGAAGCAATTGGTAGAAAGCAGCACAGGATGCAAGTTAGTCAATCAGCACATTTTCATTAAATGCCTACTGAGTGCCAGGCACGTTCCAGGTGGGAGGGATAAAGTGGGGAACAAGACTGACATGGTCCTGCCTTGGGGGCGCTGACAGCCCGGTGGGGAATGAATCAACTATTATAAGCAATTACTGATGTGGTTACAAAGGGAGCTGTGAGAGCATCTAGGAGGGGACTTTCCTGGTCTGAAGGGCAGAGTGGGCCACCCGGGGGAAGTGACACATGCAAACAGCCCTAAATGATAGATAAGTAGCCAGCCAAAAAGAAGGGGAAGAGCATTGGTGCAGATGGAACAGCTTGGGTGAAGGCCGAGGAGGTGAGATCGTGGGTGGAACCTCAGGGAAGCCCAGCGGCTCCCACCAGAAACCCCAGAGCTGCATGGACAAGGCTGCAGACGCAGCAGCCACATAGGCCTTGCTGCAGACCTGGCACCGGCCCCAGAGGCTGGCAGGCCACGGGCGGGATCTCAGGGGCGGGGGCCTGATCACTCGCATTAGAAGACAGTCCATTGCTAAATGCAACATGGAATCGTGGAGTGGATCCTGTGACATAAAATAGACATTAGCGGAAAAATGAGAAATCTGGACAAATTCTGAAGTTCAGTTAACAGTGTTACAGCAATTCTGATTTCTTCATTTTGACAAACGTACCAAGGTTATATGAGACATTAACATTAGGGGAAGGTGCATGAAGGACATATGGAAACTCTGTACCCTCTTTGCAACTCTTCTGTAAATCTGAAACTGTTTCCAAGTAAAAAGTTTTAAAAGTACATATATCCCTCTGGCACAATGGCAGAGCGGAGCAAAACTGGATGTAGGGAGAGAGAGTACAGTAATAACGATGACTAACACTTAAACATGCTTCCTGTACACCAGGCAACTTTCCAAGCACTTAATGTGTTTAATGAATTTAATCCTCAAAACAGCTCCATGAGATAGGTGCTATTATTTCCCCTCCTTTTACAGATGAGGAACCTGAGCACAGAGAAGTTAAGTCACTTGCCCAAGAACACACAGCTACTGAGTGGCAGAGCTGGGGTTTAAGGATCCCAATCCAGGCAGTCTAGCACCAGAATCCCGTGTGCTTGACCATTACGTTTTACTCCCTCCCCTCAGTGTGCGCTGGCCATACTGTCAGAGGATATGGCAAGGATCAGGCAGAAATCATGAGTGCAAGGACAAGGGTGATAACAGTAAAAATGGAGCAAGGTCATTAGACTTAAGACATATATTGGAGGCAGAATCACCAGCGTTTGCTTTTGAATTGGGACATGGTGGTTGGAGAAGAGAGAAGCGGCAGGAATGGCTCCTGGGCTTCCAGCTTAAGAGCAGGGAGCAGAGCCTCGTCTCCCGATGATCCGGCCCTTGCTTCTTTCCGCCATGGAGGGAAACCTTCCAGACCTTTTGCCACCAGGCTGCACTTACCTGTCCCTTTCTTTTACACATCCCCACAATGCAGAACAAACCAGACCGCCTGCTGTTCCCGCACAGGCCCCGACCTCTGCCACCTCCATGTCCTTGTTGTACAAGCTGTTCCCTCCACCGAAAGTCTCTCCTTGGCCTCCCTTCGTCCAAATCTGATCCACCCTTCAGAGCTCGGTCAGATGCCACCTCCTCCAGAAGCCTCTCCTGCTCTCCACAATGAGAAGCACTCACTCAAAAGATGCCAGCATTTTTGGCTCTCTTTGGCAGTGGACAGCTTCCATCCTATAATATAGTTATGTGAGTAGGGTCTTGGCTGTTGCTCACTTTTGTATGCTCAGTAGCTAGCACAGGAGGTACTCAAAAAGACATTTGTTGAGTGACTCGTCTTTCTGAGTAAACAAGTTCTGTCTTATTTTCCTTTGCTCTCTCTCTGGCTCCTTTTTCTGTCTCCTGCAACCCACGACAAACACATACACACAAACACATATACCCCTTGCCTGATACCCATGTTGGTGGTTTGCATGTTTTAGGAGCTTGTTTAAAGATGGTGAGTGAGTGACCATACGTGGCTCTGTCTTCTCCACTAACCCATCCCCAGGCTGCTGTGCCAGCCCAAGACACAACCTTTCTGGAAGCCCATTTCAGAGCAGAAGATCAAAGAAGCCTTATCTAGGGTGGAGAGGTAGGAGGACATGAGCAGGGAACTAGCGGGCATTGGTCTATCTGGAATTGCCCCCTCAGACCCATCCAATCGGCTCCTAAAATATGCCAGGCAGAGTCTGAGACCAGAGCGATGAACCCAACTCAGCCCTGGCCATTGAAGTACTGAGGGCCAGAGAGGAGGTGCCTGGCTGCCAGACGGGGCTATCACAAGGCGTTCCCCAGCGTAAAGCCGTCCTGGTGGCTACCCAACCCGGCATTCACCATCTGCAGGCCTCTCCCTTCCCCAATCTTAGGCTCAGGCCACAACCAGCCGTTTGTGGGCCCTGTTCAGTCGGCTGTTGCTGGTCTTTGTGCCTTTCCTCAGCTGACCCGGGCCACCTGAAATCCAGTCCCCTTAATGCCTCCCCCTCCAGCACAGGCCTTTGTCTGACAGATGACTCAGCCAGTGGCCCCCTCTCTGCTACCCGGAGGCTGAAGTGGGCACTTTCTCCCAGACCCACCAAATCCTGTGTGGGCATCTCTGGGACACACCACATATTAAGCGCTTGTTCCCAACATCCGTTTCTGTGGTTGTCTTCCTCCCTGCCCCCCAACTAGAATGAGTGCCTTTAGGGTAACGATGATGTCTCTGTATCCCCAAGCCTGGCACAGCGTTTGGTACAAAGAAAGCCCGGTTACATTTGTCAAATGTAGAAGATGTATACGTGAGTGTGTGAGTATTCATGTGAATGTCGAATTAGATCACTTCAGAGAAAAACGGAGAGTCTCGCCCCTCTCCCTCCCCAGATCCCAAAGAGTGGGAAAGTGGTGCCCTCCTGCCCATCCTCATGCTCCTCCTGCTCCAACTTACTTTATCAGGAACAGGCCACTTCCCCTCCGCACCTGCCCGCTGGGCAAAGGGCAGCAATGGGCAAAGGGAGCATTGTCTTGTCAGGCGTCTGGGGAGGACTAGGTTCTCTTTATGGGAAACCCCGTCTGTCTGTCTGCCTCATTCTGGAGGAGACATTCTGGAGCGGTAGGAGGTACAGAGGGAAGGAGCAGAGGACAGACTTCGGGCTGCCAAGGACCCAGAGGGCCCAGGCGCCTTGGCAGGAAGCCGACCACACCCGGATGTGGTGGCTGGTGATCAGGACTGAGGGGAGAGTGCCTGCTTGGCCGCCAACACTGGCTGGATGGGTCACTTTCGCGGGAATCCCACAAATCACTCACAACAAAGGTGAGGGCGAAGGGAGCAGAGCTCGGGTTCACGCTCTATTCGGAGAGGAGAGGGGGCTTCAGTTTTCCGAAAAGGAACCCCCGAAGGGAGCGGGGATTAGAAAAGACCAGAAACCTCGGTGGCCCCATCTCACCCGCTAAGGCCCACCGCCCACTTCTCCGGCCGCTTCCGGTCGGTCCCCGCATAGCTGTCTTTCCATTCAGCGTCCGGCCGATGCAGAGGAGAGGGAGCTCCCGCTACTGGGTTCTAGTCCGAGCTCTGCCACTCTCTGCCCTTGTGCTCCTAGGCGAGTCGCCTTCCCCTTCTTTGGGCCTTTGTTTCCTCATCTGTAAAATGGGGCCAGGGTTGGCGTAGAAGGCCTCCAGAAGCCCTTTCAGCTCGGACATGGCTAGATCCAGTATTCTCCATACTGCACGCTCGCTCCTCCACTGCCCTCCCCATCTTAACTCCACCCCCACCCAGAGGCTTCTCCCCCGACGCCGGCCGCTAGGGGTCACTGCCTCCCTTTGTCAGCGACAGAGGAGGGCGGCCGGCCCTCCAGCCCTCTCCCGGCCCGAAAGGCGACCAGAGGAGCATCTCCCGAGCCAGCGGGCCTGAGCCGGACCCCACGGCCCCCGCTCGGGATCCGCCTCTGCCGCGGGCCGGAAGGTGTGAGCGGTCGGGCGGAGGCCGGGGCCGGGCGCGGGCCGCGCGTCGGAGCCACGACGGGGTTAACGCTAACCCCTCCCCCTGGTCTGACATCACGGGGAGAGCGGGTGAGAGGCTGGAGCGGGGCGAGTGAGAGAAAGAGAGGGAGAGGAGCGAGCGCGGCGGACTCGGCGCCCGGGCAGCTCCACATTGTTGCGGATCGCCGGGACCGGGCGGAGTGAGCGGCGGCGGCACGGCGGGGACGCGCGGAGCCCCCGGCTCGACCTCCTCGCGCGGAGCCGCAGCGCCCGAGCCGCCGGGCAGCTGGCCGCCGAGCCCCGCGCCCGCCGCCTGGGCCCCGAGCCCACCGCACCGCCCGCCCGCCGCCTGGGCTCGTCCCGCCACCCTCGGAGGACGGCCGGCCATGGACGCCTGCAAGTTGGAGCCGAGCGGGAGGGTGTGAGCTCGCGGGGGGCCGGGAGCCCGCGCCGCGCAGCCGGGCGGCCAGGCGCGCCGGGGGTGGGTCCCTCTCCTCAGCCCGGCTCTGCGTGGAAGAAGAGGGCGGGGACCGGCGCGGGGAGGAGAGCGGAGGAGGAGAAGGGGGCATGACTCGTGCAACTTGCGGCGGGCATTTGCCGAGCCTCTGAGCCGGCGGCGGCCCGGGGCCCGGATTGCGGCCGCGCCGATCGCACCCAGCCCACCCCGCCCCGGCCGACGGCTGCGGCTGACCTGGATCCTCGGAGCGCCCGCCGGCCGGCAGTGATCTACCTTCGTCTTCCGGGCTGGTTTCTGGAGCGCGAGGAGCGCTCTCCTCGCGACCGCTCTCGCCGGAGCCCCGGCCCCCGATGGCTCGGATGGGGCTTGCGGGCGCCGCTGGACGCTGGTGGGGACTCGCTCTCGGCTTGACCGCATTCTTCCTCCCAGGTAAGCGCGTTGCGCCTATGCCTTTTTTTTTTTTTTTTTTCATCCAGTGCCTCCCTGGGGCTGGGAGCTGGATGGCAGGCACGTCTGGGTTGTAGGGAGTGAAAGGAGCCAGAAAAGTTAGGTCACGGCTTAGGTAAGGGGGCGGGGGTCGGCTGAGAAAGAGAGGTTAGGAAGCCGAAGAGCCTGCCCTGCAGGGAAGCAGTCGGATGCACGTCTCTATGTAGCAAGAAAGCACTTTCCCCGCTCAGTTTTTCACAAAAATAATAATATGTAATAGCGTTCTATTTATTTAATAACCAGCTCTCAGCTCGGGAAGCAGTTTGGAAACACTGCATGTTACATAAATGCAAAATAATCACCATAATCACCATCGCGGGGTAAGAGACATCAGCCCCAGGCGGAGGGCGTCAGTCTCGGAGCTGGTGGGCTGTGGGTTTGGAGGATGGCAGGGGTCTGCGTTGCGTTCGCCGGCCCCTTGGCCAGACGGTCCGGGCGCTCGGGCCGCTCCCGCCCTCGTCGCCCCACGGCGGGAGTGGAGAGCCCGCTCCTGCGGCACAGGCGGCGCTCCGCTCACCTGCGGTTCCTCTCCCGGAGGGTGAGCACGGGGTCGCAGTCTCCCGGCCTGGCGTGAGGCTGGGCTTCGCCTCGGGACTCTACTCCCAGTTCGGAGGGCTGTCCCCGGAGGAGGCTCCGCGGGCTTCGTGCCAGCCAGGTGGCTGCACGACCCACTTTCCTGAGAGTGCCCCGCGTGTCCTCCCTCGAGATCCCGGCCGCCGAGGGGTTAACCCGACGCCGACCCTGGGGTGGCCCGCGGTGGCCCCTCTGACGGGTGGGGTGGGGGCGGAGGCTGGGACCGGCCGGAGTATTGTGCTGGGGAATGAACTGGAAAATGCGTTTAGGAGGCAAATCCGACCGAGTCCCCTCGCCTGGATTTAACCCCTTGTGTCCCTGGGGAAGCTGCCCGCCTTGCACGGTGGCTGGCCACGCCGACACGGGTCCGGGTGGGGGTGAGGGTGCACCCAGCCCTCTGGGAAGAAACCTGAGACGACCTCCGGCCCAGCTGGATTGGGGTTTTGGGGAGAGGGTGGGGGCTAGGTTGGAACACGTGGTCCTGGCCTGAGGGTGGTAGAATAAGGGGTCAGAGTACAGAGACAACAGCTCTGCGTGGGGTGAGAATATTAGATCGCAGGCACCCTGGCAGCGACCGGTCGGCAACACCTTCGATTCCGCAGACTCGAGGGGCAGTTTGTGATCGCGGGGCCAGCCTGGCTGCTGACTTGGGGGGCTGGAGTGCACTCCTGGAAGGACGAAACCTGGCCTCATTCACTTCTCTACCCCTCTGGACCAGCTCACTGCCAGGACTCCGTGCATCTCACTGAGTGGCCCATGGCGTCCAAAGCAGTTTGTAGGAGCCAAGCCGGCCCACGGTGCCCCCAACCCTGCAGCCTGTGGGTGCTGCTCTGCTAGGTGCTGGGGGAGGGGGAATTGCAGGGCACACGGGTGTCACTGCCCATTTTAAGGCGGCTTGACAGAGTCCCTCCCCAGAGGGTGGTCATGGTGAGATGGGGAGGGCTTCCTCTCCCACGGCACCCCCTGGCAAGCAGGCAGGAGATAGCAGAAGCTAGGGATCTAGTACCTGTCTGACCCTCCCCTCCCCCCCCCCCCCAGTTTGGGCTTCTGGGAACCCTTCAGTTACACAGTGTCTAAAGCTGGAACCCAGCAAGAGAAGAGCTTTCTTGGGGGCTCTAGTTGGTCTGGCACACTAGGGGTTAACCTGATCCTGGGTGGACAAAGAGGGGGCAGGTTGGGGGGGAGGATCTACTCACCCCCATTTCCCCCTCTTTTCGTTTTCTCTTCCCCCAGCTTGGTAATGCATAGTGGGTAATTCCTTCTTTGGGGGCTGGAGGCCTGCCCTGCTCCACCCTCCTCAGGAAGTGAGGGCAGGGAAGTGACACTCTCACCTGGCTCAAGTGTGGACACTCCCCCCGCAAAAAGTCCAGATGGAGGGAGTGGGATGCAGAGAAGGGACCACAGCTCGGACGGCACTTAGTAAAGCTCCTGGAGTGATTGGTTGCTGTGGCTTGGTGGCATCAGCGGCAGCCAGAGTTCCTGGACTCGCCAGCTCCTCTACCCAGTGCCTGTGCCCCTGGTGCCTCTGTGAAGGGAGGCAGGTCAATATGGTAGTGCCCATCTGACCCTTGGGCAGAGGCTGGTAGGCCCAGAAGTTGCCTGCCCATGCCCCACTTTCCTCCACCCGCCAGCTCCCTCCTGATTGCCCGCTGCTGCTGCTTCTCTCTGGGGACTTGACAGCCGGATGCTCTTTTCTGGGTTCTCCTGGGCTGTGGCAGGGAGCATGGAGGGATGAGGAGAGGAGCCCGCTGGGCGGAATTGGGGGGCGGGAGCGCCTGGTGTGTGTGATGGCCCCCTGACTTCAGAACCCTCCAAATCTGGCTATTGAAGTGTAAACACAGAAGTGTATTTTCGACAACACAGACTTTACCAGTCAGGGCAGTGAAGGCCCACAAGCCTCTGAATTGACAATCTGTGGTTCCTACCGTTAACTCAGAGGAGAAGGGCAGGGGCGACAGGGGCTGCATCCCAAAGATGGACAGGAGGCGCCTGGGGGAGGAGGCAGAGAACCTGCCTTAGCAATAGGTACACTGGGCTGGTGTCCCACCTACACCACACCCTCCCTAATTGGCTTCCCCAAACCTTTTGTCTGGAAAGAGAACACACACCCCAGGTGTCATGCACACCCGCGGAAGACCTGTTGGGCTACAGCACACCCCTTCTCTGCAGTCTGTGCAGAGCTCGCTGCCATGGTAGTTTCCTTTAAAACTCGGAGTGTCAGGGCTCTTGGCTTATTTTCCTTTCTCCCATTTCTCACAGACAGTGGTGTGCTTGGGCTGGCTGGGCAGGATGTTACAGCAAAACCGATTCTGCTGGCCTGGGTTTGCAGCGTATGTAAAGGGGAATCGCAGGGTCCGTTTTGGAGGCAGCACTGTGGAGCGTGTCTTAGAATCCGATTCAAGGCCTAATAGTCAAGGCTGGAAGGGAGGAGGAGATATTGTAGAGCTTGGGCCCGGCACCCCGGCTGAGTGGACTAGAAGGTATCTCTGAACCTGCACGTCTGCGGCTCAAAGAGCCATGATGCATTGTTCACTCTGATATCAGCTGCCTTCTCAGCTACTCAGCTTTGCGCAGTGAATCCAGTTCCTTGGCCACTGCCTGACCCAGGACACAGCTGTATGCTGCCAGGATGGTTGCCAGCAAGCACCCTAGTGCTGATGGCTAAGCAAGAGGGCCAGGCCCAGGGGACAGAGGCTCGGCCCCAGTTGCTCTGTCTACGATACCGCCATTGTCTAGCAGCTGACTAATGTTCATTGTTCGGCACAAACAAAACACCCAAGGGAGGTGTGAATGTACCTTCGATTTTCCCGATTGTATCTTTCCTGGTTAACCTGGCAAATTAAATGGCTCCTACCTACAGGAGGCACAGACAGAGAGGGTGTCTGTATATTCACCTGTTCTGCTGATTTTTTTTTTTTTTTAACTTTGAATGTTGGTCAGTGTGCCAGGCTAAAATGGACATTAGCCAGCCGTGGGCCTCAGCGTATAACATTCCTGACCATCTGCATGTAGTCTCACCTTCAGTGTAGAGTGGGTGTCTGCACAGCCGTGTGCAGGGCTTTGTGTGTTTGTGTTGGTTATCTACAAATCACTGTGCACGCGCAGACCCATGGGGACTAGGACAGGAGGTGTGTGCACTGGTATCTGTGAGTCACCATAGGACTGAGGCCATAACCATGTACCAAATGTATATTCACGTATAACTGGTTTCTTAGGGCTTTCCCACTAGGACTTTGTGAGTGGCCTTGATAATGCCCATGTTTATGTCAGAGTGCCAGTGAGGGTGACTTTGGAGGGACTTAGGATTTGCCCTTAGCCAGCCCCTTCTGAGATGAGCTGCTGGGTCCTTTGGGGTGGGAAGCTGGGACAGTGCTGTCTCTTTCTGCTCTGACCTTGGCTTTTGACTGGGCCTCTGCATCCTCACGGGGAGATGCTCACCTGGAGAAGCCTTCCACCCTCGTCAGCCTCCTGTCTCCCTGGCCGACAGAGCAGCACTGGAAGCTGGTGTTAACTAGGGCCTGACTTGCCCCACGGCTTCTCATGATCTCTGAACAGCTGGGAGGGGCCATGGGAGATAGGTTTTCAGCTACTAATTAGGAATCTTTGCTTCCTGCATGAGTACTGGGGGAGGATATCATCCGGGGAGAAAGGCGGCATATGCAGGGCATTTAAAAAGGGGTGCACGTGTGGGCTTTGGTCCTCTGTGAATAGCCCTGCAGAACCAGGTGTGTGCCCAGACCGGCAGTGTACGTGTACCTAGAAGCATTCCGGGTTCATACAGCAGAAAGCGGGAGCCTCCTTGTCAGAAAGGAAAGTGGGGATGAGGGGCTGGGGGGGGGAGGAGAGGGCAGTCCTGGGAGCCCAGCACCCTGTGCCCAAGGCCAGCTGGCAAGTGTTTTCTCCCCGGTGATGCCCACCCCTCTCCATAGAGACCAGGTCCGCAGAGCCAGCAGCAGATGTGCTGGCTGGGGTAGGAGGTAACTTAAGATCTGAGCGGGGATCACCTTGCAAAGGGAATGCCCTGAGCTAGAGATAACACCCCTTCGTCCAGTTAACCCTTTAAGCTCTGGATTCTGTTATGCACTTTAGGGCTGGGAGATGAGGAGAGGGAAATGGTGGGAGAAAACCCATCGGACCCATTCCACAAGGAGAGATGAGCTCAGGGCGACAGAAGAAACCCAAGAAGGACACAGAGAAAGACTTCCTGGCAGCTGAATGTAGTCTCTTGAGGGCAGTGGAGAATCCCAAGGTTCATCCTGGGATGGGAGAGTGGGGGGCAATAAATATGAATTCTCAGGGGCTCACAGGATCTGTGTGTTTCAGCCTTCCAAGGCAGAGCAGCAGTGGTCCAAGGCTCCAGTCAAGAGGGA